GCAAAGCTGAGGGTTTTTACAGATCATCCAAAAGTAGGTTAAAATGAGAGCGCCCTCTACCGTTTTAGGTAGGCTAAAGCAAAAATATCGTAAATCGCGCAACAAGCGCACCACTATAATATGGTGGGCTAAAGAATATAAGCTAACGATATCATAAAAAGCATATTCACCCTTCAAAAAAAGTAGTACTTGAAAATGATGAGGTAAAGAGATCGCTATTCTTACTATCATATCCCACACATGTGCAGTGGAAGAAAGGTCTGTAGATCTAGGTGCTAAAATAAATAGGCTGAGAAACATAAGCCACCTCTGAAACGTTCCGTGGTGGCTTAAGATGTATAGGGCCCAACAGGGAAGTCCTGCGATACGACAAACGTTTTCACTTTAAAACTTAATCACGACTTCATCAAACTTATCTTTAACTGTACATAAAGATTCGTTAAAAAAATTATTTTTACAGGGTTTCCCATTTTATTTGTCCCTGAGTATATCTTTTAGTAGCAACTATAATAATAAGTACGAAAGCATAGTACAACAGATTACAAAAAATAATAATATCTATAAGATACTTGGCATTATGTCAAGCATCAATAAATTTGGCCTTTAGGTAAAAATAAAAAGCGGATATTTACAATAAACATACAATGAAATTTAAATGCCAGGCATGAAAAGAGACGAATAGCCGACTTATGTAATTTCTCTGTCCAAGTACAGACGGCCACAATTTAATATTTTTGATATACTGTCAAAATGTATATTATAAACAGCAGAAATTGAATTGAAATTTTAAGTTTTCCAACTTAATACAGGCAACTTTACAAACAAGTTAGTTCTAGCTGTCTCACAATGAAATGTTTTGGTATCCCTAGTTCTCAAACAACGCACAAAGAAGTTAATACTAGATGAAATTACGCTGGAGTCTGAGTTATTATGTAAAAGTTTATACAAAATGGCAGCACAATCACATTTTCGTCTTAGATCCAGACTTTCTAGTTCAAATCTAAAAGTAAAATGCTCATAAAGCATATTCCTAGGAGGATAAGTACCGTCAGTCTTGTAAGCGAGCAGTTTCAAAAAGCGTCGTTGCACTTCCTCAATTACCATGTTATGTTTTTATTAATATTGAAACCAAATAATTAGCGCATATTCTAATTTTGAGCGGACAAAAGTCAAATTAATTGTTGTAAGAGCCTTGACATCAGTGAAAGGCCGAGAGTTTCTCATTATGAATCCATACGCTTTTGGTGCGGCATTAACCATTATTGGGATATGCTCAACAAAAGACAAACTTGAGTCAAAAACAACTCCCAGATCTTCAGTTTTCTAACAACGAGAAAGTACCTCATCGCCTATAGTGTAGTCGAACACAAACGGCGTTTTCCTTCTGGTGAAACTTACTGTATTACACTTTCTTACATTGATACCAAGTTTGTTTACGTAACAAGTCTGAATATTATCTAATTCCATATGTAAGGTATGGCAGTCCTCCATACTTGTAATAGATAGGAAAATTTTCAAATCGTCAGCATCTAGAAGTTTATTACAATTGAGTGTATCAGTCAGGTCATATATAAATAATGTGAAAAGCAATGGGTCAATATTTGACTCCTGCGGCACCCCCAATGTGCAAGCATATCTATTTGAGTTGTAAGTAGTAGGTAACTATATATACAGGATATTACTTGATGATAGACCGTAATTGCAAGAGCACATTCCTGAACCAGATTTGAACAGAAAAGCTCATGTAAACATGAGTCCCAAAAAGTCTGGATTTCTAGATCAGAGTTTCAAAAGAATCCTGACTTTTATTAATATCTCAAAGATCCTTGTTGCTAATTATGCCAAAACTACCGTATTTTCACTTCAAGATGTTAAGTTAGCACGAACTAAAAGATAATTGTGAATTCCGGTGACGTCTGGGGAGACAGTCCCATAAATAACATCGATAAAAGAAATGTAGAGTAAGATGGGGTATTAAGGCTACTTGTTTTTAATGGACCATAAATCAATACTATGTCCATTCAGCCTTACAACGGAACTTGCTAGAGTGACTATACAGTCTGAACACCTGGTACATTGTATCCAATACCATTTGGGACCCTTTTCGTCGAAATAGTATCCACCACATTCTGCACAGATTTCGGAACGGTCTACTTCTACTTCTGGTTCACCACTTTCCTGTGTAACTACTTCCGTTTTGCTTTCGGGCGAACTATAATAATTAAATGAGGCACTTCTACGACTTTTCCCTTTGGCAAGGTTTTTGTTATTTTCCACCTCTACCTATTGCTTTTTTGCTTGTCATCCATTTTTTCATTCGTTGTTGGACTTTCATCAGCTTCGCAGATATTTTTTCTTTGGCTTCTTTTTTCTCTCGTTTTGCTGCTACTACCTCTGAGTAGAAAATGAGTACGCAATCTTTTTTACGTGTGCAGATGTTAGCGTAAAACCCATCTTCACCATTTTTTTAATGTATTCTACCAAGCTTCGTTCATGTTCTGGACATAGATAACTCTTACGACCTAACTTGACCTTGTATGCGTTTCCTGATTGCATTCTCCTCATTAAGGTCCCAACAGGCACAGAATATGTTCGGCTAATTTGCATTACTGAACCACGACTATCTCTAAATTTGAGATTGCATTTGTCAGATCTTCTTCTGACCACATGGCCCTCAATTTTTTCTTGGTGTAATTTCGTGGTATATTCTTTACTCTGAAAGTTTAAAACGTGTAAATGCCACATTTTGGGATAATATGCCGCATTTTGGTATAATTTGTATTTTCGTAATTTTCCCCAATCACTGTTAAATACTCGTCTCTATATGATTTTAGCGAAGAAAACAGCAGAACAACGTGCACGTGACACCTACTCTGATGCACTCTACCGATATAAGACAGATCTCTTTGCAATTGATCAGATATCCTTTTAGCCCTGTTTACATAGCTTATAATTTAGAAAATAGCATATAATCTAGTTAACGTCAAGGATTAAAAATTGATGAAATCTATATTTCTAGATATTTTTAAATGAACCTATTGTATTTCTGTGGGTATACAATGTAGAATAAAAGATATTTATTTTACCAAGTATTCTTTTATTTATATTCTGCAAGTACCAACTGGAGAATATGATACACGAAATTGTTAAGGAATTCATAGATAGTATGTCAAAATACATAAGTATCAGTAATCAAATGAAGTCTTTATATCTAAAAGGTACAAATAATAACAGGAAATATGAACAAATATATGCATTGGTCTCCTTGTTCTTTATGATGCCACTGAAGTATGCTTAGTAGCTGAAGGCTTATTGATAGCGATTTAAATCCAAAATGTATACCCAGCAGTTTAAATTCAAATCAAATTCTGTACTTTAGAGGCAGGTTAGTCCATTTTTGCCTAAAATGAGTCTTACGTGTTAAGTCCATGATAAAGTTGGGAGTTTTAATTTGATACTTGCAACATCTATCTACCCGTAATGAATGAATTATGAATGCAATAAAACTATCTTAAAACTACCTATTAGAGCTTGACCCAGTCTGACTTAGAGGTAACTACAATGTTCAACATAATGGGTCTTTTCCGCTTATCTAGTTGTTTGAATTGTTTGGAGTTTGTTTAACAGGAAAGTAATTCCCTTGATGAGTCACAATTTTCTTTTATTTTCCCATTCGTAATTAATTATGGAATTGTCATGAAGTTTTTCAGATTTTGTTTCATGCTGCAACTCTATTCTTCTGTTTACTCTCTGTAACACTTCATTTTTGATAATCCTACATGACCATGACATTTTGAGCACCCTGAAATAGCGATGGTCAATAATAGTAATTATGATCTTCACATACAAACATTATACATACTTGTGCCTGACATTCTACACAATTCAGAGTCCCACAATGATTTATGAAAAAGCATCTCTGATAATTATCAACAATGCAATAATTGCACTTGCCATACAATGTTTCTTATCCATGGAGGAACCATCTCATAAAGTCTGTAAGAATCAATCACACCTGAAAATAATGCGATAAGTATATAATATGTATATGCAATGATTTGTTTTGTAACTTACTAACCTTCATCAAGAGAATAGCTTGGTTGTAAGCTTCTGGACTTTCATACACACAAATATAATATTATAATATAATATATCCATCTGCATTAATTTTCCTAACTCAACAATTTCTTGAAGATACCACAAGTTGTGGAATTTGAGGAAATTACAGGAAATTGTTAACATTCATTGCCAAAAAAGATCAAAAATTTTCCGAACATCTAGAAACGTCGACTGTTTTTTCGGACGGCTTGGATTAGTCGTAGCATAAGACGATGAGGTATATCAAGTGCCCCAGATGCTCAGTTCCGGAATGTTTACCTTAATTTAAAAATAGTTTAAATAAAATACCTAAAATAAGCAAAAACTTATATTTGGGAGGTTCAAAATAAACTTTTTTTGGTAGCAGTTTAGGAAAAGTCACGCGTCGCCACTGCTAATATTACAGCGTTGCTTCAGTATTGTACGTACAAACAAAAGAAAAATCTCATAATCATACATTGTGCTCACTAAAGACGCCTCTTGCCTCTTCAATGTGACCTCTCACTTCCGACTCCGGACAAAGCCATGACGGTGTGCTCCTGCTCCAGCCGATCGCGATCGATACTTTTAATAAACTTTTTTCCGGGACCTAATCTATTTCAGTTAATTTAGTGGCGTCCGAAACCGTATCCGAATCCATAGACCGAAACATGCGGCGCTCGGATGAAAAATGAATCCGGTGTCGGTTGCTTCCCCTCTCACAACGTCGACATTCACGGTGCTATAATAATCGATTTTACGGAATATTTGGCGCAAAATATATGGATCATAGCATTTTCTGCGCTAATGAAAAGAATGCTTCGTATTTCCTGCGCTCCACGCAGCGCCTCATTTGTAGCGCAAGCTCCTACACCTGGGGTGTGCATAAAACAGAATTTAGACTCTTGAAACTAACCACTATTGCCGACGCTACCTTGCTATGATAATTTCGACACCTGATTCTAAGTGGAAGCTGTCATGGCAGTATTAAGGTTACCCTGGCGGATTATTCTTATAACCAAGGAATACGTTTAACAGGCGGTTGAGGGAGAAATAGTTGATCATTTGGTGGGTCTTCTGCAATGACGTGTCTGAACATGTCAGTTGTGTCAAAATAAAATAAAATCATTTCATCCATTCCTATGTATTTACTAGAGAAACCTTAAGCATTGGGGAGTGAGATCATTTCTTCAACCAGGTTTCACTGATATTTTGCAATACCAATGGTACAGTAGCATCTTGCAGCCCCTTACACCTACAAGACTTGATGGAGTCACCAACACCACTCTCGATCGAAGAATTTCACCACGATTAATGGTGCACAACGTTAAGGAAACAGGTAGCTCAAACAACGAATTTACAAGCATCTTCAAATCAGTGAGACCCACAAAAGTCAAGATATCTGCAAGAAAAAAAATGAAAGAGATTAAAGTATAAAATAAAAAGCAGAAATGAACAATTTGCAGGAGTAGAAGCGTATTTGGAACAAACTATGGGGTTGTCCAAAACGGACGCAGGAAAGTAAACGCATATTAAAACAAGAAAGATTGATATTCAAATCAAGTTAGGTACTTTATTTTGAAGGTTCATTTATACCATTTATGTATGAAAAATAATATCGCTCAAATGTTCACCACGACTGAATTTACAGACGTCCACGCGATGGTCGAAATTTTCAATGACATTTTGCAACATGGTCGGTTCTATGGCATTTATCTCGGCAATGATGTTGTTTTTGAGTTCTTGGAGGGTGGCTGGTTTGTTGACGTAGACTTTGCTTTTCAAATATCCCCATAAAAAGAAGTCCAAGGGAGTCAAATCGCACGATCTTGGTGGCCATGGCACATTTCCTCTGCGCGAAATCACGCGATCACCGAAGAAGGACTGCAATCGATGGATATTGACGTTGGTTGTGTGGCATGTTGCACCGTCTTGTTGGAAATAAATATCGTCCATCTCCATTCCTTCAAGTTGCGGCAAAAAATAGTCCTCTATCATCACGTGATATCGCTCAGCATTGACGATAACGGCGTCCCCGGCCTCATTTTCGAAAAAGTAAGGTCCGATGATGCCTTTTGACCACAATGCACACCACACAGTCACTTTTTGAGGATGCATCGGCTGCTCTTGATACTCACGGGGATTTTCGTTCGCCCAGATGCGGCAGTTTTGCTTGTTTACCGTCCCATTCAAAGTGAAATGCGCTTCGTCGCTGAACATGATTTTTGATGAAAAATTGGCATCAATTTGGCGGTGTTCAAGGAGCCAATCTGAGAACGTTCGGCGCGAAAAATGGTCGGCCCGACGCAGCTCTTGCGTCAATTGGATCTTGTAGGCGTGTACATTCAAATCCTTGTGGAGAATGCGGAGCAAACTGGTTCTCGAAATGCCCAATTCTTGGGATCGACGCATTGTTGATTGTTGCGGATCGTCTCTCACACTCCCCTTCACAACAGCAATATTTTCCGGTGTGCGAACGCTCCTTGGCCGGCCAGAGCCTGGCAGATTTGCCACAGAACCTGTTGCCTCGAATTTACGCACCAGACGACCGATGGTTGTTTCGTTTGGGCGGTTGTTGCGACCGAAACGTTCACGAAGCGCGCGAAACGTGTTTTTTATTTTTGCACCATTTTTGTAGTGCTCTTGAATATCTTTAATGCGGTCTTCCATCGAATACGACTCCATAGCGATCAATGGTAAACATTCAACTAACAAAATGACATGTCGGTGACAGAAAACAAAGATGGCGTCTATGTCAAATTGACGTTTACTTTCCTGCGTCCCTATTGGACAACCCTACAAAGAAAAAGGAGAGATTTTTAGATATAATTGCTAACACTTTGAGCGTAAATGTGGAAAACAGTGAAAATGACTATTCAACTCGCAAGTCGTTAAACTTCATCTTTTACACGAATTTGCATTACAGTTTCTACAAAGTGCGTGGTAATGCTTGAACATTTCATTCCATTTCGTTTATTTAAACATAAACAAAAACGAAAATTACATGGACAGATTTAAAAACTGAAAAAAAAATGAAAAAACAAGCATTTATGTCATAAGTTTGACCAGCGTCATCCATACTTAATCAGGTTAAATAAATGAAAGGACACGTATTGATTTGGCAGGCAGGCCACTAAAGTTAATCTTATTGGTCAAAATGAGTCCAAATCAGGCATCCACGTCGGCGTTAACTCAGTGCCACGCTTGGCCACTCCCATCTCGAAAAATAAGTTGCAACTGTCAAAAATTGACACAAGAAATAGCTTTTAATAGAATGCAAATACAATTGAACTGGCCTTCGACGGCACAGGCCCTTAAACGACGACAGCGTAATTCAATAATATTTTGACAGCATAGTAGAGATGGCTGATGTGTCCATATCGTTATTTTTCATATCTGATATCTGGTATCGTTATTCTTTGATATCTGTTATTTAAAACCGTGACGTTATGACAACTTTCGAATAACCATGAGGTTACGAATATTAACATCCTGGACAAAATATTGTGGTAACTTTTACTTTGACAGGAAAATATCAACTTATAAGCCTGCTATTTTTAAGGTGGTCTAATACAAAATAATTTGGAAGAGTCTTAAACCTAGTTTTCCTGTGCTATTTCAGCATAGGCTACATACATACGTTACAGTGAGCAATTGTGAAGAGACGATAAGCGCTCATTACGTTGGCAATAATACATGATTCTTTTCCATTAGCCCCAAATATGATCAAAATATGTATAAGAAAATCACTGAAACAAAAGTTGTGTCTGTATTTTTGGGTTTCACATCTCAGACAGAGGAACAGACCAATATAGATGTTTCCCATTTCTATTTGTGCAACATCTGAAAGGTCTAATTACTCAAATTAAGCTGTGATACTGGGTTTTGAACTGCTCGTCGCAGACTTTAACTCTGTCATTGATAATTTCCAAAGAGCAAAGGTTTTGTAGGGAGTCCAGGAAATCCACGTCACGCCGGAAACAGCAATACCTATCAGGAAAATATAAAAACATCTAAGTCATGTACTTTTAGTTAAAAAAATCGGAAAAATCTACATCCTGTGATTATCTTCAGTTCCCATAACATAAAATTTCAGTTTCTTCTTAGACGGAGAGACGGACAGTGTCATTCTACCTAGTGACAGCAAGTAGTAGCGCCACTTTCATAAATTCGTGAATCTGTTTACTAAATTTACAATGAATGTTCAAACTACCTTCCTCCAGCAGCAATGCAAGTTTGACATCTTAAAAATCATCAGGTTACCACATAGGCGAATCTTCCGGTAATAACAACTTCCGTTATTCTGTCCCGTAGCTTTTTCGATTGGCTTTCAGTAAACTTTTTATTTAACCGCTCCCCAATAAAAAAAACTTGAATTGATCTATTTCAGGTGAACGGGCTGGCCACGAAATTGTACCAGACTGCCCTACCCTTATTCTCGGATATTCCGCATCAAGATATTCTCTAACTGAACGGGTATTTTGTAAAAAAACTATAAAACGTCAAAAAAACGTATAAAACGTCAAAAAACCTATAAGATGTCATCTTGCAGACTAGGTAGTTATCAGTCATTCCACGTTTGATCACTAGCAACGTTGTGAACGTCCATCTATGGAGGAATAGATCAACTTCATGCATTATTGGTTGCACATGTTTTCTGAAGCCGAGTAGTCTATAGTTTTCATCTCTGAGAAAAAAAATTGACTGAATAGCAAGATCGCATCTGGATGATTGCGTGTATTGGTCTGCATGTGTATAAAATCAGTGATATTTGTTGTGTATATTACTGAATATGCTGCCAATGAAGTATATCTATTAGGTATTCCGACAGGTTATTTATATGTGTTCTTTCCGAAGACAGGTTATGTCCTAAGTTATAAATTTATATTTTTTACGTTTTTTTGTGTTTTCAAAAATTTTTAGGAGAATTACAGCAAATTAACACCGCGCTCGCGTTGTGTGTAATTACTGTTAGCATGTATATGACTTGTAATTCGACAGTGTATAGTGAATATAATTATTTCTTATCTCTCTCACTTTTGAAGCAAATTTGCATATGTTATTTCCAGAATGGATAAGAAGTGGATGCGCAACTAATTTGTAGCTTTAAATCTCAAGTAAGTGTATTTGAGACAAGAATCCAATGGAATTATCAACACATAATTATTAGCACACAAATCCTCACTGTGCACCTATGCATTGCCGTTACCTCCAGTAATGCAATCTCTGAAGCAGATTTTACATCACATCAGAGCTAAACATTGATAACTGAAGCTCATAATGTTTAGGCAACACGTACAACTTAGAAAAATCTACATAATGCCACAAAAAACCAATATAATGTCAAAAAAATCGACATATTGTCACTTTTCAGGATACGTAGTACCCGTGCCGGGCAGTCGTCCTAGTGGTACCACATGTCTCTGTAAATGCTTAGCCGCACAACTTCCAATAAATTTTGTAAATGATTTTGTGAAAAGTATAAATAAATTTCGCCATTCTAGAACTCTGGCAGCTCAAAGGGTACAGTGGTGATTGGAACGACGAGCAGCATTTGGATACCTTTCACGATAAAGCCTAGCTGAAACACTAGCACATGGTGGCACTATATAATCATGAATTAATAAAAGTGGCAATACTATCTGTCTTGATGCCACTACGTAGAATAACACTGTCCGTCACTCCGTCTGAGAAAAAATTGAATTTGTCATAATGGCACTCAAAAAATCATCACAGTAGATGTTTGCGATTTTTCTGATTCCTTTTCAAGCCTATAATTTGAAGAGTACACGACCTAGATTTTTTTATATTTTTCAGTTAACTATTATGACTTGGCCTATCCCCCGTTTCCGGCTTGACGTCGACTTCTGGGATACACTGTATACGTGTTGTAGTTCAAAAGGAATAAAGAAAAAACTTAGCTATAAAGATATTAGCATGATAAATGTATCACTATAGCTGCGTACTCATAAAAGCTGAATCTTCGCCTTGACATATACAATAATATCCTCTCCTTGTACTTGGTACATAACACTTTAAAACTGTTGTTATGAGATATATGTAAACGTGTTCTATTGTTATTATTATGTCCAACACTTCCAACTACGGAAGCAGCAATGTGCCTGTTACTGATGTAGTGGTGAGCTTTATGAGATTCAATCCCGTTACCGAGTAGAGGTGCTGTTATTCGAGTTGTTTGATATGTTTTAGATACGTTATCCAAAATAAACATTTGCTTAAATTGAGATACCATTATTTTGAGGCAGTTTATGCATTACAAATGTGAATACAGATAAGTTTTTACACCACCTAAATGACACCGACGATCTACGACTATGCTGTTTATATTTCCTTTGGATTGTTTGTCTCAAAAAACGATACGTATATGGTAAGTTAAATGACCAAAATTGGCATAAATTACTTTTGTAGTACGTCCTGAGGAAGGTAAATATTTTTGAAAGTTTGATCGTGATTCTGATTTGTTTTTGTCATATAGTTGCGAACTCAATATCCTTAAAGTAGTACAGGGTTTGTCCGGAAAGTAATAGGACTCATTTTCTTCCGCCATGACTGTACTTAGGAGCATGCGCGCACCGACTGGATTCGGTAGAGGGCGTTCCTAGCTAACGAATGAACGGCTGGTCAGTTGTTTCCGAGCACTTGGAGAGTCAGGACAGGCATTTTTGCGCGACGTGTTTCTGTGAGTGGTGCAAGCCGAAAATGCAGCGTTCGTTAGAACAGAGGTACGCGATTAAATTCTGTGTGAAACTCGGTAAATCTGCGTCAGAGGCGTTCGATATGATCAAACAGGCTTACCCAGGTTTTGCTTTAGCAAGAAGTGGTGTGTTTCGGTGGCACCAGGCCTTTTTGGAGGGCCGGGAAGAGGTCGCTGATGAAGACCGTGCTGGAAGACCTTCGACTTCGACAAACACCGATAATGTGACTCGTGTGCGCAAAGTTTTGAACTCAGACCGTCGACAAAGTATTCGCTTAATTGCCCAGATGTTAAATTTACAAAAATCTGTGGTTCATGACATTGTGACACAGCATTTGAACATGCGCAAGGTGTGCTCAAAGATGGTCCCAAAAGTGCTCAATGACGACCAGAAATTGCGGCTAGTGGAAGTGTGCCAAGAAAATTTGAACATGTGTGAGAGTGACCCCCAATTTTTGAATAACGTAATCACAGGTGACGAGTTGTGGATCTTTGAGTATGATCCCGAGACAAAGAGGCAATCTTCCGAGTGGCACACGACGGCGTCTCCTCGCCCAAAAAAGGGAAGAATGAGCAAATCCAAAGTGAAAACGATGCTCATTGTCTTTTTTGACATCAAAGGCATCATCCACCATGAATTTGTTCCTCCTGGACAAACCGCAAAACTAGCAAAGTAGAAGTATAAGGTTTTGGTAAAAGAACCGTTCAGCCATAAAAGCTCTCTATTGTTGTTGCCTGAACACCAAAATGCTGGATTAATGTTGTGTGGAATGCAAGTTTGCTTTCTGCAACATATTTGCTCTAAAATGAGTGTTTAAAATATTCTTATAGCATAGTTATACAATACCTTATAGGGCAAATTTTCAACTGTTGCATAAACGTTTATACAACTATTTTATACGGCATATTTGCAAGTTAGTCAAAATGGTTGTGTTGTGGCATCCATGGTAACTTTTATAAAACAAACCCGAGCCTTGTTGTTTTGCTGTGCAAGTTACTACTTTAGTCAACAAATTGCTCCCAACGGAACCACTTATACAACTGTTGCTTAGTAACTGTTAAAGGCTGTACATATGCTAAATATGTTGGTAAACAACTTCACCATAACTTAACTTTCTGCTGTCATATTTTTGTTAAAGTTAAAATGCCATAACCAATGTTTTAAGACAAACAACGCATGCATATTGGTTCAGAAGGTTTTATCAACTGTTCAAACAGAAGATATAGATCTGGAACAAATTCTAGGTAAACCATTCGACTCTGTCGGTATTTCATTTCAGACATTTGTCAAATTGTTGTATAATACCTGCAGGCAACACCAAAATATTCTAATAACCTAAAGACAATATGGACGATGCCATGATCGTACACAACCACCCGCCATATTGGGCAAACATTTATTCCTCTATTTAATATTAAATAATTATGTTTCAGTTCGAAATTACAGATATAAAGTGATAAAAATTAGTGTAATTGTGTCTAGATATAGGATTTGTGGAAGATTTAACGCAGATAAGTTCTGTTTTCCATCTTAAAAATCTAGACATACTTTTGATCATTGTCAAAATATGAATCAAATACGAAGCCCGTAGAAATTGGGTAACTAATTTGTACGATATTCATAATAAAATTTGCTGCGCAAGTAATTCAAAAGCCCTATATCACAGTGTAGAAGTTATCATATACCTGTGTATGAAATTCACAATGGCCTATATGTAAGTAAAGAAGATAACTGTAATGTGTTCGTTATATATTCTTCACTTCGTCTATACAATACATAAGAAATAGTTTGGTTGCAATAAAGTAGAATCACGTAACAGAATAGTTGTATAGTTGACATAAACTGAATCTTGCACTGACGCAAATGCCCTATAGCGGCTGCAAGTGGCTTACATTTTTGTTTTATAACTGTTACCTGCAGCTCTTATACAACCTCTTAAATGACTGAAGTGTCCCATTAGGTGTGCCCATTCCGCTTGTATAGCTGTTCTAAGAGGGACTGGAAGTTGCACCACGACAACGGCCCGGCTCACACCGCCTTTCTTGTGAACAGCTACCTGTCCAAGGCCGGCATCCCAACGCTTCCGCAGCCGCCCTACAGCCCAGATGTGGCCCCCTTGGTCTTTTTTTTGTTTCCTCGCCTAAAAAGGCCGATAAAAGGCAAGCATTTTGAGACGAGAGAGGGGATCCAAGCAGCATGCACCGCGGCTTTCAAGGCTATTCCGGAGAATGCCTTCCGTGACGCCTTCAATGCTTGGAAATCGGGCTGGCAGCGCTGCATCGACGCAGAAGGAGCCTATTTTGAAAGTTTTTAAAGAATTGTAACGATTGGCTCAATACATTTTTTTAAATCGACTTAGTCCTATTACTTTCCGGACAAACCCTGTATATACCTTTACTTGATAAACTCGTAAATAATGCATCGCATCCTCCATATATATTTCTATCATGGTGGATGAATCAGATTCTGATTTATTACTAAGAGCTAGTGCATCCACCATATTCTTCAAAAAACAACAATATTTCTAAGGCAGAAAGTACCTACATCTAAAAATATGATAGAAAACATGCCCTAACATGTCTCACTGCCAGGATACAGAGTGTTGTGAGTTTCTGTTCTACTGATGAGACTAAATAACGCTATGGTGATATGAGATCACTCTTCTAGTAGACTACATGCAATTTTCAATGTTAGACTTCATTAACTTCAGAGTATTTTCCAATAGAACTTAAGTTTTTAAATTGGTCTTCAACACAAACATTCAAAAATATCTTACTGAAAAAGGAATTGTCTGAAAAAAATTATTCAAGAATCACGACTCGGGAACCTTACGCGAAAAGCAATTGATGTTTCAAGGAAGTCAGTGACGTTGACTATGATTTTCTTTATGCTTTTCTAAAATTCATATTTACCCACTTTCTGTTATTCTATATTCTCTGTCTTCGAAATACTGTCAATATTCTAAGTGATATACATACATTACATTTGCAGTACGTCCTGAAGGAAATAGGCATTTTTGAAAGCTTGATATGTGCAAGAGACAACCTTCCTTCCTAGCCTGATTTCATTCCGCCTTCTGGCTTGAAACTCAACGTCCTTGGGGATGTGTTTACCTTAATACAAATATTAAATTCTTGAATAATGCAAGGTACGGCCCATATATACATATACATCAGAGCGTATTCGAAAAAACGGTGGATGTGACATCTGGTCTATCACTCGAAGCTGGTGCATTCACCATATTACTACAAACAAAACTGCAATATTTCTAAGGGCAGAAACAACCTACATACAAAAGTAAAATATTAAGTTCCTATTAACATATATTCTGAAATGACTTACTGCCAAGATACAAAGTGTTGGATGTGTCTGCCCCACTGATCAGACTATAATACAAAATAGCGCTACGGTGAGTTGGGATTACTCTACTAATAGATCACATTATTGTGTAACGTATCATACCTAAAGATAACCAACCTAATGCCAATTACACTAACACCAACCCTTCCAAAGTATATATCATAAATAGAGAAACAGCAGTGCAAAATTCTTATAGATGACGCTACGGTGTCTCATTTTACCTCTAATGATATTTTGGGCGTAGGAATATAGCTCTAGATTGACTGTCGTCAGCTAGAATACGTTAATTAATAACTGCATATAATTAATGTCAGACTTGTCTAACTTCAGACTATATTCCCAGAAGAATGGTTTGAAACTTAAAAAAACAATTGATGTTCCATGAAAGTCGGAGACGTTAAATATGATTTTCTTATGACTTCTATAAAAGTAAAATTTTCCCACATTCTGTTATTCTATTTTCTATGGATTGAAAACATTAGTTGTACTATACGTACGAGAGATACTAATAGTTTATTGCACCACCTATGACTGCAGGGTTCTTAAATATGAGTGTAACAATTTGTGTCTGGTATCTTGGAAATGTAGCGATATATGTCAATTGTAAAACGTTCTACGACTATATCCCCTGTAAAACATAACGTTATAAGTTATTCAGTGATATTGTAAGTGATCAAAATCGACATAAATTACTTTTGTAGCGCGTCCTGAAGAAGGTAAGCTTTTTGAAAGCTTTACATAAACAAAGAACAAACCCCTTTCTGGCCTGATTTATTCTCACCTTCTGGCTGGTAACTCAAGATCCTTAAACATGCGTTTACTTTTACTTAATACAAATATTAAACTCTTAAATTATGCATCTCTTCGTCCGTATATTTCATACATGGGACGTACTCGTAAAAAATGGTGGATGTGTCAGCATCTCATTCTTTACTAGGATCCACCATACCATATTCTTAAAAAAATATAATATTTCTAAGGCAGAAAGTAACTATATTCAAAAATATGATAAAAACATATTCCCTCAACGTGACCTACTGCCAGGATACAGAGTGTTGTAAGTTTCTATTCCACTGATGAGACTAAATAACGCATAGTGAAGTGAAATTACTCTTCTAGTAAACCAAACATTTAAACCTGTCTTACTGAAAAAGGAATTATCTGACGAAAATTACTCAAGAAAGGCGATTTAAAAACCTTATGCGAAAAAGCAATTGATATTTTAAGAAAGTGAGGGACGTTGACTATGATTTTATTTATACCTACTTCTCTAAAAGTCCAATTCTCAAATACTTCTGTCATTCTATATTCTATGCCTTCGTAAATACTGACAATACTACACGTACAAAAGATACGGATAAGTTATCGCACTACCTATGACTGCAGGGTCCTTAAATATGAGTGTACTTGTACTTACTTGTGTCTGGTATCTTGAAATGTAGCGTTGAATCTCAATTGTAAAACGTTCTACGACTACGATGTTCATATGTCTTTTGAATTGTTTGTCTCAAATAAAGAGTCCAACATTGTAAGTTAATTTAGTAATATTCTAAATGATCTAAATTTACATACATTACAGTCGTAGCACGACCTGAAATAAACATTTTTGAAAGCTTGACATGTACAAAGAACAAACACCCTTACCGGCCTGATTTCTTTTGACCGTCTAGCTGAAAACTCAAGATCCTTGAAGATGTGTTTACCTTTACTTAACATAGAAATTAAACTCTTAAATGATGCATCCCTTCGCCCATGCATTTCATACATCAGGGAAACGTATTCGTGAAAATGGTGTATGTATAAACAACTGATTAATTACTTGGAGTGCATCCACCTTATAATTGCGAAAACAACGGCAATATTAGCAAGGCAGAAAAATCCAAAAGAAAAATCCAAAAATAAGATAAAGAAACATATGCCCTAACATGTCCTATTACCAGGATACAGGATGGTGTAAGTTTCTGCCTCACTGATGAAACTGAATGACAAAAAATAACGCTATGATGAGATCAGATTACTCATCTGATAGACTAAATACAATTTTCTACGTCAGTCTTCAGTGACTTCGGAGTATTTTCCCAGTATTGCGAATTAAACTTTTTCATGTGGATTTAACCTCAAGTTTTCAAATCCATTTTACTGAAACAGGAAGTGTCTGACGTAAATTACTCAAGAAAGGCGATTCGTATCAAATCGAAAGCCATATTCAGAAAAGCAATTGCTGTTTTATGAAAGTATGACACTGACCCTGAATATACAGGGTGACTTCGAAGTTGAGTCATTTATTTTAACAGTGAGTAGATCTGATCAAAAGAAATGTTTTTTTCCTTTACCATTTTTCTGGTAAAATTAAAGTAACAAAGTTATAGCCCTTTGGAAGTTTGAGTACCGCCCTGCCTATTATATGCTCGTATTTGGCGACAACGGATATAATCCGCCTGACCGGTTCATCGCATCGGAAACAAAAAAGCGAAAGAATTTGAAACGTTTATCACGATGTTTTTCGTCAGTCGATAACGCGTAAGTGAATAGTAGTGTGTTGTGTGGTTCAAACGAAATCAAAAATCGCACATGTTTACGAAAATGCTGAACTTGTGGACATGATTCTTATTTACGGGGGGGCAGTCTTTACAAAATGCTTCCGGATGCATCACGGATTTATGCGAATCGGTTTCCCAATCGAGTGCAACCAACCCCTCGTGCCTTTGTTAATGTAGTACAAAGGGCTCGTGAATCAGGTGACTTAAGACCTCACAGGTGAGGGCATGCTGCTCCAAGACCGCACGATCAAATACAGGTCCGCACTGAAATACTTGTCGGGAGGATACTTTATTAAACAAGGTAACATTTTTTTTTTATTTTTTTTTTATTTTTACACACATATTTTGGTTTATCTTCCTTCTACAATCATTATCTGAAAATTAATGACTCAACTTCAAAGTCGCCCTGTATATTTTTTTCACTTCTATAAAAGTCAAAATTTCCCGCTTTATGTTATCCTATATTCTATGCATTGGAAATATTGCTAGTACTACACGAACAAAAGATACAACTTGTGTCAGGAATTTTATATTTTATTTATATTCTTTTAGGATTTTTTCTCTCAAAGAAGAGTCGGACATTGTAAGTTAATTTAGTGATATTGTAACTGATCAAAATTGACAAATTATTTTTGTAGTACGTCTGAAGAAAGTAAACATTTTTGAAAGCTTCACAAGAACAAGGACCAAAGACCCTTTCTGGCCTAATTTCTTCTCGCACACTAGCTGGAAACTTTTACTTAATACAGAGATTACACTCGTAACGTATTCGTAAAAATGGTGGATGTGTCAACACCATATCCATCAAAAAGCAACCAATATTTCTAATCTATGTACCTACATCAAAAAATAAGATAAGAAGATCCGATATATATATATATATATATATATATATATATCCTAAAATGATCCATTGCCAAGATACAAAGTGTTGTGGGTTTCTGTCCCACTGATGCGACGATAACGCAAAATAACGCTATGGTAAGATGACACTACTGTAATAGGTTGTTTTTGAATTTCCAGCCCCCCATTTATTGCAAGGTGTCACTTATTCTCATTCCAGTCCCATCTTTTTTATGATCTTTTCTCTTTACTCTCGATAATCAATTGTTTCATTTCGTAGTCACGTAGTTCAACTCGACTTTACCCCAACATAATGTCATACTTTACTTGATCATCTCCAGTCTGGCACATTTGCTGCATTGTACAGTGTTTAAGTAATAATGTATAAGTAGTAATAATGTAAAATCGACCAAGCAAACAGACTTTGGATTGCGCCGACCTTCAGATGTCTTATCTGATAGTAAATAGGTAAGTTACCTTGCATCTTTCTCTCAAATTACTACCACCTAATAAATTAACGGTTTCCTTTACTCAGCTACAATCGCAACAAAATCCCCATTAAAATGAACTTTGAAATTCTCAATAACATGAACTTTAAGTTATCGCTGTCTATATAGGTAGATAGGTATTTATTGAGCCAGAGAATGTAGCCGTGAATATCGGATAGATTACATCAATGACACAAGTTTTGACATACACCTAGAATAACTGCAAATACTGTCATTATTTTAAGGCTTCTGAATATTTCCCGGCAGTGTTCGTCGTGCCTAGCTCTAACAGTACTACGAATTGCTGCCATTTGAATCAGAAAAATTATCTGTAACTAAGCAAGTGAGGCATTTTCCCAACTAATCGCTCAATAGAGAGTTAGACATAACATTGTAAGCTGTTCTGGCAGAGTCGATAATACGATAATATATGCAATTTTGCGTATTGCATAAAATATACTACCCTAGCCAGCTTAGTACTAATATGATCAATATGTACAAATAAGTCATATGCGAGAAAACCTATATAGCTAAGAATTTTGCATGTGATGCATCAGAATTTCAGCGTGAGCTGAATGTACAGACTATTTTTTTTATTGTTTAAATATAATTCATTTGATGAAAACCATTTTTCAGAGTGATTCACAACAGTCCCAACAATATGTTCTTTTCCATCCGCTCTATTTTTACTTAAAGAAAAACTGATAGTTGTATCATCAGCGTACATCGTTATTATTATGCTATTCATTATTGTACATAATTATTGTACATAATGAACAGAGATGGCCCAAGTATGGGTCTATCTTGGTGTTAATACTGACTGACATCGTAATTAACAAATTTCGTCGTGGCCGTCTCAGCTAATTAATCAATGTATTTGACTAGTTAGCTAATTACGTTTCACTAATTAATGCAATAACAGTCAACCTGTTATGTACAGTTGATGACGGTCATAGAGATAGGAAGCAATAATCCTATTCAGCCTCCTCTAATTTCTGCTCTGGAAATACTGTCATTTTTGGGCGCAGTCGAAAATGTTAAATATTTTTCTTTTCGTTTTACTACTTAAACGAATATTGTAAATGAACATTCAGTATAAGTGGTGAAATACTCCCATTTGCCTAAAGCATTTGGTTGCTCTCTTAACAATGGTAAGTATCGTCTTATGCTTGATTCCATATTATTTTCTGACGTAATTAGAAATGTCTGTTTTAAATAAATAATAAACTATTCAGTACCTACTAAAGTAAATGTATAGCATGCAGGATGACTAGACTCGCTACAAGGCACCAGCGTTTTTTAATCGCCCCAAATAGTCTATGACAGACGTTTGCTCCTTCCTTCCACCACTACAGGAGATCCTCTACACTCCATGAAATATTTATCCAGTTCAATAATCCCTACTGGAGTTACAACTCCGAAAAACGTCTCACCTCAAGGTTAAAATGGTCCCAAAGGTCTGAGTTTTAGCTTTTGTCTGCTATACTAAAAAAGAGGACCGTTATCCCGAAAGGAGGACATCTGGCAACCCTAATCAAAGATACGTATTAATTATTAAAATTCTCTTGAATTGTTGAAAACAAGGAACAAAAGTGTATCCCACATTATTTAAGATTGTTAGATGACATGTATATATCATAGCTACATCTGCTACGTGACCTTATGTGGTATATACTGGTTCACCGAAATTGCACATCGCTAGTGTACACTAGTAATTATGGTAATATTGCAAGCTTGGCGAGAACAAGTTGTCAGTTTTTAAAATTCCATGTATTTTTCAGATGTGTGAAACATATTTGGATCAACATATAAATAAGAACCCGTGATTGAGGCTTAAACGAAAGTAAAGGATAGTAATCCGCTATAAGTGTATCGGCTATGATCCTGCAGACAATTCGAAACAGTGCATCGTAGCAAGTTATAAGATTGCTTCAATAAGCACCAAAAGATATATTTAACGTGATTTAACGGTATTTTAATAAAAAAATATTCCGAACGCTATAAAATATATCCGTCATAGTGTCATTACTATGGAAGGCGCTACACGGCGAAGGTTTTTTTACTGTGACGGTCTGGAATACAAAAAGATGAATAGATGGTGAATTTCAAACCAATCTACTAAACTTAATTGTCCAATCTGTTGCACAGTTCATTAATTTTTTTCTGACCCAGTTACTTTTTCTTCTTGGGGAGATTAAAAACGCTACATAATTCGATGGTACTGTAAGATCCAACACTCTCAAAGCTTAAATAAATTTATTGTCTCGATCCGGGTGGAAGATTACAATTATACTGTTTTCGGATTACCCGTGGAACCTTATTAGCCGCCATCACGATATTCGAGGAAAAATATTGAGCTGCTGCGGACTGGAATTAGGCTGGTTTTATAATCCTGAGACCGCTGAGAGATTCAGTTATATTTCGATAATTATTTTTGGAGATGGATCTACTTCAGCCTTCCATGGGAATTATCAGATATCTGCAGAAACCTACCTAAGATTGCTCGTCACGACCCATTCGTTTTGAACAAAATTTGTGCTAGCTGAACAATTTCAAAGCCGTATACAAATTTTATAGCCGACTGCTCATATATCCAAAACAAAATACTAATTTACAAAAAGATTATAACGTCGAGAAGCTATTAAAGGATAGAGCATCCCTAAAATTGGTATGGGGCATGAGGAATTCTTAACAATGACAATTGTCGTCGTTTGGAGTTAAAGGAGTTGTGTGCACGTGAGTGAGAAATCTGATGATAGCTACCTACCAATGGTTTGCCAAACATACATTGAAATGACAGAGAGACGTCTTGTTCTTCTGGTTTATAATGGATCGCCGTCAGCACTATGTACACATAGATGCCTCACCAGT